CTCCCGAGCGGCGGCGGAGGCCGGTGGGTGACGTCAGCGGCGGGGGCGGGCGCGCGGTGCCGGTGTGCCGGGCCGAACGGAGCTGAGTCGAGACGAACCGAGCGGAGCCGAACGGAACCGGTGAGCGCGGTGCCCGCCGCACCCACAACCTTGTCCGGGCCGCGCCAGTGCCGCGGGCTGAGCCCGGCGGGGCCCTCGGAGCGGGTCGCGGTGACCGGTTGGCTGTGCGGGGCCGGGCAGCGGGAGAGCCCGGCGGGATCCGCACGGGGGGGGTCCCTGGACCCCTCCTCGGTGCCGGTGTGGCCTCGCCTTTCCCCGGGGCTCAGCGCCGGCCTGCGGGAAACACCCCCCCCCCCCCCGTTCCCTCTGTGGCACGGTGCGCTTCGAGTCCGTGAGGCGCCGGTTCGCCGCCCTGGAGGGCGAGCGGTGCACATGCATGTGGTTGTCTGCGGCTCTGTGCGTGCTGCATGTGTGTGCACATACAGCCCCGTGCGCTTGCACACCTCAGCCTGCGCACCGCCGAGCCGGTAGCACCGTGCCGGGCAGGTCCCGGCCCCTTCCCCATCACCGGGCAGGGAATCCGGGTTCTCTGCCCCTACCCCCGCTCCAAGGCAGGCTGCCTTCGCTCCCCTTGTCCTCGCCGGAACGAGACCCTCCCATCTGGGAGTGTGCGCTGGAGATGGCAGTCGGCCACGGTCCGAGCGTCCATAGGACCGAACGTGCTCCATGCGAGCGGGTCTGGCGGCCGCTCCGGGAAGAGGCTTCCCCCCAGGCTGGTGTAATGCGAGCATCAGGAACGGCGGGGAGAAACCCCGACCTCGTGTCCCAGCGGCTCTGACCCGCACACAGCCCGTCCTGCAGCCCCGAGGTGGTGGGCTGGGGCAGAGGCGTCCCCCGGGTCCAGTGTGTGTAGAGCTCCGGCTGTACTCAGTGCTGGAGGTATTGGGGTGCCTCTGGTACCTGTCTGTGTGCTTGGGTGGAGAAGGTGATGTCCAAATGAGGCCACGGAGATGCTGTGAGGGCTGGAGCAGCTCTGCTCTGGAGCCAGGCTGAGAGAGCTGGGCTGGGGCAGCCTGGAGAAGAGAAGGCTCCTGAAGGGGAGACCTTAGAGCAGCTCCAGTGCCTAAAGGGGCTGCAGGAAACCTGGAGAGGGGCTTGGGACACGGGCCTGTAGGGACAGGTCAAGGGGAATGGCTTGAACCTGCCCGAGGGGAGACTGAGCTGAGCTCTTAGGCAGAAGCTCTTCCCTGTGAGGGTGCTGAGGCGCTGGCACAGGGTGCCCAGAGAAGCTGTGGCTGCCCCATCCCTGGCAGTGTTCAAGGCCAGGCTGGACACAGGGGCTTGGAGCAAGCTGCTCCAGTGGAAGGGGTCTCTGCTCCAGTGGAAGGGGTTGGAGCTGGAGGAACTTTAAGGCCCCTTCCAACACAAACGACTCTGGGATTCCACAATTACCTGGCCACACGAAATCATGATCTGTTGGACTGTAACCTCCACTGAGGTGATTTGGGTCTCTGTACAATGTGCCATCAACTAGCCACCCATGAGTTACTGGGGGTTTTCTCTGTGTTACAGGTTTAATAAAGTCCTACAAAGAATCAGATGAGACTAAGCAGTAACAAAAACCCCTGAGGACCATGCTTGGGTACTGCCTTCCCTCTCTGGTCTTGCCCCACGAACAGTGATGCTAAGGGCAGTGTCATACTAACGTGTGTGGCGATGATTATACCTGGTGTGAGATTCATCCCCAAAACATTATGTGCTTTGAAGAAATGGGGACAAACTCTGTGTTGAGGCTCTTGCATCATGCAGCCCTGTTAGCTGTCACAAGAAGAAAGTGTTTTAAATAGATCTAATTCCAGGAAACTCAGCAGGCTGATTGGAATTGTATTTTTAGTCTCCAGTTCATGTAGGTACCTGAGATTTCTGTCCCACTGTTCCTAGCTGGAGTGGACCACAGGTAGCCTGCTGCTCCTGCCTCTTGCCTCTCATCCTTTCCCAAAATACTGCACTAAACAAAGCTTCCCTGCGTTCCACTGGTTGGTTTTAAAATGCTTTATCTTAGCAGTTGTTTGGCAATACTGAAATCTCTGTCATTGAGGAGTTTTAAGACAGGTTATACAGGAGGTTTTTGAGACCCTGCTTTTGCGCAATGGCTGGGGGGGGGGGCACACGGTTAAGCTGTAGACTGAGTTTCTCATTCTCTTCGGCAGCCGTTCATCCCATCGGCAGCACAGAACCTGCTTCCAGTTTTACTCATGGTACCTAATAGTGAATCTAGCAGCTATCTAATTCTCTATTCTTAGACTGCTTAAGTGCCTTAATTTACAATTAATTCCGCTTGCTGTTCAGATTTAATGGATTCTTTTAGACGTCCTCATCAGTTACTAATGCCTGGACATTTCTTTTTCCCTTCTGTGCCTTGTAGAAAGACCATGTTTCCACATCTCATTTTTCCCAGAATGTTTATTTCACAACTTAACTCCTGCTGCTTTTCAAGGTTTGTAACTTGTGAGGTCATTGATAGATGCTTTAAGCAAGTCGTGTACTCTCATTGATGCTAACTGCTTTGGGCTTTTTAAAATTGGCCCTTTTAAATTTAGACACTGCTGCCATTATTTTGGGCATGGTTTCTGTGACTGGCACAGAACTATAATGGAAGAGGACTTGCATTAGACATGGCAGTTCATTTTGGCTTCATCCTCGTCTTGTCGATCTGCTGCTGCTCCTTGGGCAATTAATGTTGAAACGTGAGCTACTCCATGTGCTAGCAGCAGTTTTTCATCCAGAAGACTTATCAGTGTGTTCCTTGGGTTTGGTATTGATTATTCATCAGTTGTGTTGTGGTATTTTTATTTGCCTGTCTAGGTGTATGTATGATCTGAATAGTAGCAAGACCCTAATCATTCCTATGACACAGATTCCTGTGATACCATACCCTAACCCTAACAATTTTTTGATGATTCTAAGATGTTGTCCTCCTTTCACCAGTGTGCTTGAACACGTAGAGTAAAACTCATTACTTAGGACCTGCAAACGCCCAATAAATAGACTTTGAGTGTCTTCGACACCACTGCAGAAGATAATTTGCTGTATGTCCCAAACGTACTTCATACGTTTTTCATTAGTTTGGCATGTTTAAGCACCAGATCTCTTTTTTTGTGCCTCAGTGTCTCCATACTCCTCTCCTAACTGACAGCTGCACCTTCCAAACCTCCCAGGCTGCGCTTCCCAGGCAGGCACAATGCTGATGGGTGCAGCCCAAGCCTGGCACCGGGAAGCTACTGTGTGTTTCCCATGATCTCTGCTAGGGCAAGGTTAAACAGCGATCTGCTTTGAAGGCTTTCCAGGCAGAATTCCATGTGAGGATTTACAGGAGCCTATTTCAGCCCTACTGAAAGGTGCCAGGATTACCCTGTCCCTGGAGCTGGGTCAGGAGCGGGACAAGCTCACAAATCTCCCTGCTGAAAACTTCCCCTGGCTTGGAGGCTGTGGGGGGAATTAGTGCTGCTTATTCCCGCAGCGCTTCACATCTGAGCTAAGCCTGTCTTTAAAAAGCAGCCAGCGTGGTTGTGCTTGGAACAAGCAGCTCAGTTTCTATATTATACACAACAGTCATCTCTGTAGGAAGCTGGCCAGCCCACGCTGCTGCAGCAGCCCGGAGCTACATGGCTCTTAGCGTGCTTATCCTTGGGGCGTTCCTGGGAGGACGGGAAGGAGCAGGGGGCACTCAAGGAAGAGGCTTTCTGGAGTGCTGGTGTGAGCCTTCATTCCCTGGTGGTGTGAGGAGCATTGCCCAGGTATGTGTGTGTCTGTTGGGTCACCGGCAGGGATGCTGTTCCTGAGAACAGACCCACAGGTCTTACTCCAGGCTGAGTGGTGGAAGACTTGGAGTCCATATAATTTCCCAGGGAAGAGGATCATCTGCATCCCAGCTTCATTTTAGGATCCCTCAAGATTCAGGAAAGAGCAAACAACTCCCCGGGGCTGATAACAATCGGTGTCCATCTGTTCCAGCTGCTCAGATTGTTTGCACGAGTCAGTTCTTGGGCTACACCTGATTTTACAACCCTATTAATTACATGGTAATTGATACTTATTCAACAATTAGCTATGTAAACTGAGATAAAAAGCCCAATCAAATTTCCTCTTTCTGGAGGCTTCCAAAGCCCATAATCCCTACCTAAAGGGAACTGCAGATCATCTCTGGACCCTGAGAGAGGCTTGTTCCTGCATATAAGTGAAGGGGGGGGGGGGCGGGGGAATGCAGCACATCAACTACCAAGGAGCCTTTCTAGAAGGAGTTGTTCCCCCTTCCCCATCTCCCATTTTTATGGCTGTGATGCTGCCAATCCTTCTGGAAGGAGCTGAGGGTATCCCTATCCCCAAACCACATGCTTCTGGTCTAGGGGTTTATGGAGGAGAGAAGGCAGAGGAAAATGCAGGCAGGATCAGGTCTGCACTCCAGGTGGAATATCTTCCCAGTGGTTGTGCCCTTGCTGGGGCTGTGTGTGTGCTCCATTAACTCCCCCTGCCCCATCCCATGAGATACGGAAAGTTCTGAGCCATTAGAAAGTGCCTTTGGGTAAAGGTAAATTAAACCCTTGCCTGCTGTGAGGAGGCAGGGCTGGAAATGTGAATGTGGAAATAGGTCCCAGCTTAAAATGACTTCAAGGACAAAGGGTAGGTGCAGGGCTTCTCAGGATCTGATTCAGATGGGAGCAGTTCCAATTAAAATGAGCTCAAGGAGAATGGGAAGAGAGGAAACAAGGTTGTTTCTGCATTTCTGTCAGTTTTGCAGCGTGGAACACTGAACTGGTTTACATCTCTTCTACAAGCAAGGAAGCTGACCCAGGGAGTATTTCAGATAATTTCTTTTAAAACTTATAATTCTTTTTCTCTCTGGGAATTCTGCTTTCTAACTGTTTCTTTGTTAATTTTTATTTGAGATTGTGTCAGCTTCAGAAAGCCTTTAATGCATGCCTGCCTTAGTTTCCTTCCAGATATCTCCGAGGCTCAGTATGGTCAGAAGTGCAGAAATTCCATGAATTAGAAATAACTCCATGTCTCTAGTAAGGCAGGGAGCAGGGAGCAGGCTGCCACTGCTTCCGTGCAGGTAAGCAAGGCTTCTTGTCTTGCTAAGGAAAACTGGGAGCAGAGAATGGGTGGAGAGGGAGCTGGTGGGGAAGTGGGTGTAGGGCAGAGCCTAAAGGGAAGCCTTGTGAAGCAGAAATACTTGTGGAGTGAAGAGGAGCGGGGCTCCTAACACGGCATCACCGAGTTATCTCCTTTCTCACTTGAATAAGGGGCAGGGAAACCTCAAAGGGCGCCTTAATGAGCTTTATGTTCGCCAAACAGGATCAGTGGCTGATATTATTGACCCTTTTGACTTGTCTCACATCCCACCTTCACCTGAGCCTTATCTGCCCCTGTTACCAGACAGGGGTTTGTTTATTCTGCCTATTTAAAGAGAAAACAGAAATTCCCCAAATACCTGCTTCTGCTTGATTTCAGGCACGACAGACGTCTGTGCCATCTGTGTGCCCCATCAGCTTTGCCTGGAGATTCAGTTGCATCGCTGCATCCCTGATGTTAAGGCAGGTGAGCAGCTCAGCACAAGCCACCTCAGGTTTGTGTCAAATACCAGCTGATTAACACAGTGTAAATGCTGCAGAAAGCTCTTTGCTGAGCTGGGTGAGGTGGTGGAGACACAAACAAGATTGTTAGTGGCACTAATCGGTAATGGTAGGAAGGAGTCTTATCACAGCACTTGAAAAGCCTCATTATCTTGTGTGTGCGGAGAGCAGGGAGGCAATTGTGCATTGGGGAAGGCTTTTAGAGTCCTTTGTCTCCTTAAGTCATTAGAAATGCCATGATCTCATCTGTTAGAAAGATGTGTCTAAGGGTGAAAAAATATTAGTATCTGTGAACTGGAAAGGTAATTGCCTGCTCCTTAAACACAGCAAAATGGGCAGAGTGGTTCTGGAAGGAGGGAGGAAGTTTGAAGGAAATTCCTATTATAATGCTTGCAACATCTTTTCAGTACAGAAAAACGTGGTGTGCTCCAGCAGATCCCTGGGGCAGCCGCAGGATCAATGCAGTAGCTGAACAGCTGGGGAAGAACCATCACAGCAAAGTCTGGAAAACTCCTTTATCCCTACAGAGGAGAATGAGTTGGTAGTTTTGCTCATCTCACCCATTTCATTTCATTAGAGACTGAGGAGGACGGAGTCCTGCAGGCCTTGGAAGGGGTTGGGGATGCTGCTTTTAATGCAGGACATCCCATGTTGGGATGCAGGATACCCATCCTCCACGGAGTCAGCAAATATCCCAATGATTTGGACCTGTATTCCAGAATCTAAGCTCATCTCCTACACTGACTTCTTCTACCTGAATAAATAAATCTCATGTGTCTGCTACTAGTCAGACAGTAAAAGTAATCTTTATCGCCATAATATCTTTGTCAGCTTTCCTTTATTCCAGCAAAGTACTGTAATATCTGAAAAATGCTTTAGAAACATAAGCATTTTTTTGAGCAATAAATACTGAAAGAGTCTCCAAGACTTGAGTCTTACAAACCAAACCAAACCACTCAGCCAGGTTTTCTTGGCATGATTCCTTTTGCAAAATGGATATCTTACTGCCTGCTGGAGCCAGAAGAGAAGAAAGGGATGAAGGCAGTGGTTTGCTCCATCCTGATCATTCTTTTAGGACTCTGTGTAGAGCAGAAGGGATATTTCAAAGCAATATTTGACTAAATGAGGGGCACCGATGGTCTAGACCCCAAGCTGGTACAGAGGACCCTCACTGGGTTGCTCTCAATGAAGCATAGGGTGGGATGATGCTCTAGGTCTGCATTTAAAGCATCAGATTTTAAAATGGTGCAAACTGGTCTGAACCATCAGCAAACTCCCAATTTTGCCATGAAGCTGCTGTCTCACTCCCTGCTCCCTTCTAGGCACCCAGCTCTTAATGGGCAGCAGGGTTGTGCCAGTTCAGATGATCCACGTGTAGCAGGCAGCGGTCAGGCAGTGCTGTACTTGTGCTTCAGTGAGGTGCTGTTTGGGCTTTGGTATCTGTCATAGAATCAACAAATCCCAGACTGGTTTGCGTTGAAGGGATCTTAAAGCTCATCCAGCTCCAACCCCTGCCATGGGCAGGGACCCCTTCCACTAGAGCAGCTTGCTCCAAGCCCCTGTGTCCAACCTGGCCTTGAACACTGCCAGGGATGGGGCAGCCACAGCTTCTCTGGGCACCCTGTGCCAGCGCCTCAGCACCCTCACAGGGAAGAGCTTCTGCCTAAGAGCTCAGCTCAGTCTCCCCGTGGGCAGGTTCAAGCCATTCCCCTTGGCCTGGTCCTACAGGCCCTTGTCCCAAGCCCCTCTCCAGCTTTCCTGCAGCCCCTTTAGGCACTGGAGCTGCTCTAAGGTCTCCCCTTCAGGAGCCTTCTCTTCTCCAGGCTGCCCCAGCCCAGCTCTCTCAGCCTGGCTCCAGAGCAGAGCTGCTCCAGCCCTCGCAGCATCTCTGTGGCCTCCTCTGGACTTCCTCCAACAGGTTATCTCCTGTTTACATGTTTTTTCCAACAGAAGAGTGATGGACAACCTGCACACGAAGAGCTGGGCAATATCTGAGTAGCATAAGCCCCATGTGGGATAGAGCAGATTTTCCCACGGCTCTGCAGGACTATGGTGCATGGTTGCATCCTCTCAGTCTTCCTCTCCTGATTAAGACTCCTTCTGGCATGAAGAATATCAACTTCATAACTGTCTTAATTGCATGTAGGCAGCAGTCTGGGTGGTTGATGTGTCCCGAAACAGACTGGGTGCCTGCAATGGGAGCCCATGGTGGAGCAAACCCAGTGGAGCTGAGCCTGGTCCTTGGAGAGGAGCTGGGTACAAGAGCTGGAGGACTGGCTGCGTCTGGTTTGCCCCTTACTATGACACCATTAAAATTTAAGGTGGAAGTGGGAGGAATGGAAGAGAATTTGCTGTTTTAAGGCGTAATTCATTTTTAACCTCAAGCATTGGCTGGAGTTTGTGCAATCCACTGGCAAGGCAATTAAAGTGATTTTTTAATGAGTCATTTTTTGTCGCTTCACCAGGCTGGGAGCTAAAGATCCCAGGCTGTGAGCTGCCTGGGGTAGGGGCCATCCTTGTGCTGTGCTGCTCTGATGCTTAATCCCTAATTGGGTTTTATTTACCAGCCCTGGCTGAGTCACAGCAAGAGAAGAGAGGTGCAGAGATGTGTCTAGATAGACCACGGACAGGAAAATGTCCAGGCATCAGTGCCTACGGCTCCAGTTTGGATCCATCCTAGACAAGAAGACTTTGAGGACTTTGGACAGTGCAGTGTCCAATTTATTTTGACGGGGTATTTACCTATTTTTGCTGGGTATTTTGCAGGAGTATGCTCCAAGAACAAAAAACAATGAAGAAAAAAAAAAAAGGATTCTCTGAGAGTTCCTCTTAAATCCTGAGGACAGTGAGGAGAAAATGAGAGTGAGTACACAGGCAGTGGGTTCCCTGAGCAAGAGTCCAATGACTATAACACAGACCATCCTTCTGAGCACCTGACTGCACCTTGGTGACCTGCCGAGCCTGCTCTCTGTGTGGGACATAGCTGCTGCACCTCATGTGGTGATGATGATGATGATGATGAGGTCCAATTTCAGACTCGTTTGGGGGATGCTTTCCCAGGCATGTGCTCTGTCTGCAGCCGAGGGGAGGACTTGGGTCTCATCACCTCTGCAGGGCTGAGGGAGCACAGACTGAGCCTGTTTCACAACACAGCATTAGAGGAAAGCAAGCTTAGGTCTGGCTGAGTTAATTTCTGGTGCAACTCAGCCAGAGAAACCAGAGATGAATTGTTTTCCTCTGCATCATTCATTCGTTCAGCTACTGCCTGCATTAATGCACCTTGTTGCCTTGCGATATAGGTTATTTAGAGGAATTCTCTCTAAAAATAGCTGCCTGGTTTGATGTCTTTCCGGTATTAACTCTGTGCAGCACTAAAAACCTGCCTAGAAAGGCTGTCCGGTTCATTGATGTTCCCCTAAAACACAGCTAATCCACATAATCTCATTATAGTAGTAGGTGATTATACTGAGAGCAAGCTTTAGCAGTGGTCCAGCAAAGCCTTTTATTCGCCATCCATTATCTGGATGGCTGCAAGTCACAGGGTATGTGCTTTGGTTTTACTCAGGCTATTTTTGGCCAAGGACTTACAATATTTTTGTTTCAATTCTCTAGGAAATATCCCACATTATGTTTGACAATGCAGGCACATTTATGCCACTGGCTTTTAGCTTTGCTGGCATCCCATAACTCCTCACCAAGGTCTCACGGGAAGCATTAAAACAGCAGAGACCTTTTTCCCAAGGCAGAAGAGGGGAGCTTTGTTTAATGTGGGATTCCTGGCCTCCACTATCTCTTTGCAGGTTTTGGACCTTATGGCCCTGCTCTGCAGGGAGTCAGACTAAGAAAAGGGCTGAGGTTTCAGATGCTCTGTTCCCATCACTGGGGTGGAACTGCCTGGCTCCCCCAGACAGATGGGATGTAAAAAGGCAGCTGAGGTGGATGTGCTGGTCAGGCTAGGTGGGCTGCACATTAATGTGGGGCAGAGATACGCACCACAGAAATCTGACCATGAGCAAGGGCTTGAGTCTGTAAGAGTGGTGAAGCAGTTTGGGCTTGAAACACAGCCCAAGCCTGCCCTTCATGCAGGAGAGGTTGCTGCCTAAAACCCCATGTGCTTGGATCAAGGACTGACTCTTCAACAGTGGCCCAGTATCACAGAGCTTGTTGTGAAATAAGCCCTGAGAAGGAATTGGGGTGTTGGGTGAGGAGAAGCTCACCATGACTCGGCTTCAGTGAGCGCTTGAGCCCAGAACCCCCCCATGTGCTGAGCTGCAACCCCAGAGCATGAGCAGCAGCTCAGGGAGGGGATCCTGCCCCTCTGCTGCACTCTGGGGAGACCCCCCCTGCAGCCCTGATCTAGCTCTGGGGCAGCAGCACAAGAGGGACGTGGAGCTGTTGGAGCGAGGCCAGAGGAGGCCATGGAGATGCTGCGAGGGCTGGAGCAGCTCTGCTCTGGAGCCAGGCTGAGAGAGCTGGGCTGGGGCAGCCTGGAGAAGAGAAGGCTCCTGAAGGGGAGACCTTAGAGCAGCTCCAGTGCCTAAAGGGGCTGCAGGAAACCTGGAGAGGGGCTTGGGACAAGGGCCTGTAGGGACAGGCCAAGGGGAATGGTTTGAACCTGCCAGAGGGGAGACTGAGCTGAGCTCTTAGGCAGAAGCTCTTCCCTGTGAGGGTGCTGAGGCACTGGCACAGGGTGCCCAGAGAAGCTGTGGCTGCCCCATCCCTGGCAGTGTTCAAGGCCAGGTTGGACACAGGGGCTTGGAGCAAGCTGCTCTAGTGGAAGGTGTCCCTGCCCATGGCAGGGGTTGGACCTGGATGAGCTCTAAGCTCCCTTCAAGACAAACGAGTCTGTGGTTCTATGAAATCCCATGCCTGCACAGTCTCCTGGACATAGGATTAATTCTTGAGTTTTGAGCAGCCTGTGCTGGTTATGATGGGTTACAGGTCACCATCTCAGGTCACTGTGCTCAGTGGCCATGCCACTCAGTCTGGCAGCCCCAGTGCCTCGTGGGAGCATCAGTTGTGTGAAGGCTGCCCTCACCCTCCCTGAGGGTGGTTCATCGATGGATGTCTCTGGTCACTCTTCTCCAGGATGATGGAAGCAAGAGCACGTGGCTGTCTGTACAGATCCCTGAAGTCTCAGCAGTGCTGTCTGGGAGGAGAATGGGGTGCCAGGGGTTGTTTCTGTCTGGGGCCCCTTGTAGGTCTCCCCACTGGTTTTACCCGCTTTCCTCTCTCAGTTGCATCTCTCACGCTGTGTTGGGGCTGCAGCAGCGTGGGGACATCGCTGTAGGACTGCAATGGGAAGAGTGAGTGTGGAACCCTGTTACAGAATGGTTTCTGCACACAAATGCATTGATTTTTCTTCTCCATAAAGCCTGTCCTGGTTGTTTTCCCAAGCGGAGCATGCAGTCCGGCCCTGTCCCCCAGAATAAACTGGATGAGCTTTGTCAGTGAGCAGGAGGATTAACGTGGAGGTTACAGACCAGCTCTGACAGACACCAGTGCAAGCACTTTTGTGAGATCCTAGTGTAGTGTTTTGAGAGGAGATCAGGCTCTCTGGTACCTCTGGGGGCCCATGGAGGGTAGGTGCGAGGTCAGGGAGTCTCTCTGCCATCTCTGCCTTCTGGTACATGCTGCACATACTTCCTCTCGGGCAAATTCCTGGTGTGGGTTTCTCAGTCACAGTAAAAAAAACACCTTTAGGGCTGTTTCTATGTGATTTTTTACTATTTTTTTAATAACTGTCCTGCTTCTGCTTGTCTTGCTCCAGCCCTCCAGTGATAACACAGGAAAGGTCCTGACCTGTGGTGTCCTGGGGAGTGAAGCCCAGGTTTCCAACACAGCACTGTCTGAAAGCGGATCTCATCTCTTTTGGGAAGGAGACTGTAGGTGCCAAACCAAAAGGGCAAAGTGATTTGCCCCAGTGAGGTATCGTGTTTCTGCTCTGATTTATGGCTAGGGGAGAGGCTTCTGAGTCATCTCTTCTAGGAACTGCTTTATTTATGTAACGGAAATAATTCTGCTGCTCTTAAATTGATTAAGAGCCCGTACAGCATGAAAGCTGCGGCTGGCAGGAATAGGGACTGGAGATGGAGACTACAGGTAGAGCAGAATGTGCTGGCTACAGCGTCTGTCTGTTCATCCCCTGTGAGTGGCTAGATGCAGGTGGATGCCTTCACAGAGATGTAGCTGGGCTTTTCCAGCTCAATACCACATCACACAAACGAGCTTAGGCTGGTGGGAGAGGGCACACATAGGGAGCCTGTTTGTTCAAGGCACTGTCTGGTTGCTGTTTGGCTGCAGACCACCAACCATGGGGCAGTTGTATGTGCCAGGCCCCGCTGGGAAACAAGACCTTTGCCCATGTCTCCACCGCGTTCAGCTGACAGCCCCCTGCCACGGCTGATTGACCAGACCCAGCCAGGCGCAGACAGCAGCTTTCCTGCACCACTTCAAACCCCTGCGAGTGTCCGTGAGTTCTTCATTGTTTTCTGTTCTTTCTGTGAACTAATGAGCGTTGTCTGATTTCTCTTTTTTGCTTTCCTGAGTGTGATTTGGCCTGGCCAGAAGGGCCCTCGCTGTGAAGGAGGAAAATTCCTATTTTCCT